ACGGTCATCCTGTGGTTCTGTTACCCTAGGGGGTCCAGAACCGGGCCTTCTATCGGACCCAGTTTCCCGAAAACGTCTAAAGGCTTCTGGCAGAATTTCGTATGGAACTCCAATGGCAATAGCCGCACACCTGATGGAACGTCCATCATAAATAAATGCCACACCATGTGCAACATCCTCAACACTGCGTGGCATTTTTAAGTTGAAAAAATTGAAATTAAGAAAACAAAGATGAAAATTAAACAGTTCATTGCTTCAGAATTCAAATGAGACTGAATATACATTTTAAATTCTATAAAAAGTAAACATTTTAAAAATAATTTATCCTAATAAAAAAGGATTATGTGTGTTTACCTTTAATTGATATTCTCAATTTAAAACAGCATAAACAAATATTATAGGTAAAAACAATGACAAAAATTAAGGGCAGAATTTTCTTTTATCGAGAAAATGAAAAAACTATCAATTGGGAGAAATGTTTTGCCTGTCAGTGTATATACAAGGTGAATTGCTACTCGTGCTACAAACTTCTCCAGTAGATTCTTCACCCTAAAATGAACAAAAAAGTTCATATTGTCCATGGTCCGATTCTCAACCATTTCAGAGTAATTTCGCTTTTTATCGATTTTGAAAGATATCACGTCCTGGCGTCGGAAAATCGTGATATCTTTTAATCTAAACATTTCTCTGAAAATCTAATAGCACCGTTGAAATTCCCGTTAATTTTTCAATAAGAAGATGACGGTGGCAAAATGTTTGGGCTAATTTTTTGTGTTTTATTTCAGCCAGAACTACAAAAAGAGTGGAAAATTGTGTAAATCGGAAAGTGTATAAAGTAATCCAGAGTTTCTAATTTTAGTCTCAGAAGGCAGCAAATTTGAGGAAAACTACCTGATTTAATAACGCTTCCAACGCACTCGTCATTTTCTTATTTAGTGGTTGTGAGACCAAGATGTTGATGACAAAAAGAGAAAAAATGGTGGTTCAAGGATTGCTAATGTTTGAGAGTGACTTGCTACTCGTGCTACAAACTTCACCAGTAGATTCTTGACCCTAAAATGAACAAAAAAGTTCATATTGACCATGGTCCGATTCTCAACCATTTCAGAGTAATTTCGCTTTTTATCGATTTTGAAAGATATCACGTCCTGGCGTCGGAAAATCGTGATATCTTTTAATCTAAACATTTCTCTTAAAATCTATAAGCACCGTTGAAATCCCCGTTAATTTTTCAATAAGAAGATGAAGGTGGCAAAACGTTTGGGTCTTTCTTCCTTGACCTTCTAGCTGTTTGTAAACTTCTTAAGCATTACATACTAAATGGGCATTAAATTAAATTAAAAAATTTCAATGGAATTATGATTTTGATTCTCTCTAAAAATTAACGGGGATTTCAACGGTGCTTATAGATTTTAAGAGAAATGTTTAGATTAAAAGATATCACGATTTTCCGACGCCAGGACGTGATATCTTTCAAAATCGATAAAAAGCGAAATTACTCTGAAATGGTTGAGAATCGGACCATGGTCAATATGAACTTTTTTGTTCATTTTAGGGTGAAGAATCTACTGGAGAAGTTTGTAGCACGAGTAGCAATTCACCCTGTATAATATGTGTAATATATATTATAATATAATAAATAAGCCTACTAACCATTTTGGGTAGAATAAACAAAGGTCTTAATAATAAGGATTGTTCTAATCCAAAATTATCAAAATACAGGGTATCCGGCTACTCATGTTACAAACTTTGCCAGTAGATCCTACATTCAGATGAAACCAAAAAATCCCAATTAAAATAAAAACCTTTTAGTTTTGGAGTTTTATTTGAAGCTGGATCTTGAAATCTTAAAAAATCTGCAAAAGGGAAATAACTCCGTAACTGTTGAGATTCAGACCCTAGTTAATTAATTCTTTTTGGTGCTATTTTGAATGTAGAATCTACGGGCAAAGTTTGTGATACGAGTAGCCGTACCCCCGTAACGTCAGACCATCAATGTGGTAGAGGAAGCCTTGGGTGACTTGGTGATTTGGACGTATCGGTTTGTTAGGAAGGATTTGAGGGTAAGGTAGTATATAAATGGAAGAATGCGCTTTAGCTTCCACACAAGCCTTCATGCCATGCCCGATCACTGGAATATGACAAGGAAAACACCCGGACAGTATTCTTTAAATTCGAGGGAGGTGGTGTCGACAACGCGATGGGCTTGGCGAATAGTCGACTGGTAGCCGCGGAATCCAAATTGATGATTGGAAATGATGTAGACGAAGTAGAAGAAGCTTTTCAAGTTCTTCTCCAATTGGGAGAAGGCTAATAGGACGATATGAGGAGGCGAGGTGAGAAGGGTTTTTTAGGTCTTGGTATCATACGTACGGAGGAGAACCTACAAAGCATAGGAAAGTAGGTAGTACAACTACAAACTAACAAACCCAAAAAATTGCATCCAGTCAAAATCCCTGGAGCCCTCTTCACTCACTGAAGAGACTAGACGCAGTATTAGTTAAATGTTAGTCACACAAGCATTATTTAAGCAGACAAAATTTAATTATCACAAATTGAAGGTAGTTGTAATGTACTGCAAATTAAAAGAAAATTTAACGGTTATTATTATACAATTTATGTTTAATTTTAATTTATGTCATTATGTACGCTACTCCTTAAAATAAATACTTTTATTTAAAATAAAATGTCTTTGGACTATGTTTCTTACATTCATTTCAAATTATATCCAAAGAAATTCTGTATATTATTGGCTTGGTGCAAAATTAATGCCCAGGTATTGAAAATTTGTTTTATTTTCGCAGGTAATTGCCATGTAAACAAAGCTAAATCTTCAAATCTAAATTATGGACTATAATAAATACTTTTAACAGTTATCTTTTATACAAAACATTTTATTTTATACTGAAGTGTACAATAGTATGTATTCTATACTTTCCAACTTGCAGAACTAAATATTGAATAAATTTTTAATATTAAACTCATGGAAGAGTGGAGTGAATTTTCGGAATGTTGACGAAACTTGCCAGAAAATATTTGAAACATTTTCTAGAAAAATATAGCGCATCATGACATAATATAAGCTGGGGGGCTTTTTAGGGTTTTTAGAGGACTTGATTTTTTTTAATTGTATACAGAATTGTTTTATGTGTTTCGTTTGATTGCGAATATGTTGTTAATGTGAGTGGTGAGGAGCTGATGGTGAAATCTAACGTCACGACCCTCAAGCAGTGTTTATGTTCAAATGAATACTTATATTTATAAGCTGAATAGCTTATTACTATTGTGTGTAGGTCGATGGAGGAATATCGAGTAATCCACCGACATCAGAATGATGCAAATATGTGGGAATGTATACCGACATCAGAACGATGCAAATATGTGGGAATGTATTTATTTGTGCGACTGTATTATAGATTGTATTTATTTTTAGGCTAGATTATATTTTGCATACGTTGGGGGCACATCCTAGCCGTCGTAGGGATGTATAGACCCTGGGGTCAGCACATCGGGGAGTGACATTGGGTTCCCGATTACTCATCGTCAACAAGACAAGAGGATCTTTAACGTACGCACCTAGCCTATACGGCCTTATCGGACGTTTTGATTCTCAAGATGAGAGCTGACGCACCTCCGCATACGACGGAAAAGTGTTACCGCCGCAGCATTGGTGTAGTGGTGTCCCGGCCCCTAAGGGTCAGTAGCCACGCTCTCCGCTTGTCCACTCCGAATGGTCGGGCCCGCATTGTGCGTCGGGTCGTACGCCGCACGCGAGGGGCTAACGGGCCGAAATACATCAGCCCGTCCCCCCCCCCTCGCGTACTCCCTAGATAGAGAAGGCGACTCTATCTCTCTGAGTGTAGAGGCTCCTCCAGCGTAGAAACTTCTGGGAACGCCCCGACAACAGTTTCGGATTATAGTGGGATTGCTACCCACCCCCTAGATGAGCACTGTCTACGGTAAAGGGTCTCTTATCGAGCTCAGCCTACACCTGCTGCACGTAATCGAGGGACGCCATAGGTCTAGCCTAGGTGGTCCGATCCTTCGCTTCCCCAAGGGTACCACGCCGGTCATACGCACAACAATGCAAAGCATACTCGAGTCAAAGACCGCCGATATCACTACCCTTTTCCAATCGCTTACTTACGCATTCGAGGGACTGTAGCATGATCATGACGTCCTCAACGCTTACATGCTGTCGTCCGGTCGCAACGTCTCCCGTGAGGAACGGGGGTAATACATTGGCCATACGCAAGCTTCACGAAAGGTCCCAGATAGAAGACAGCCTCTGTCTAAGTTCCCGCCAGGGGCGTCACCACAAGCCACCACGAGTCCATCCCAATGTGACTCTGGGCTGGTTTTTAAAACGTTGAGTCACCCCGTGGTACAGATGGCCATACAACCCTCCCCCATCTTTGTAGACAGGATCTGGTGCACTGGCCCTCGTGTGACTCTGCTAACCCGCCGCCCCTGCCGACCCTGAGGCCGACATAAGACAGCTTGTGCTTTAGAGAGGTTGCCACGCCCTCTGGGCTGCACCATTATTTTGTGCCCGGATACCCCCCTTGTAACCAAGGGTTAGGAGGGGTCACTAATAGAATGAAGGAATTCGGATTGAGAAACAGGGCCGTGGAAGAGAACACGAGGTGAGCCGTTTCGGGGTCTCGAGTCTCAACCACATTATACCACCCGTTGTCGCCGTGGTTCCACATAGAGTGGGCCATGACTCCCAGGGTGGGTATCGGGGAGTGACAACCCTTCGGGGTGAAAGTCCGAATCTAGACAGGCAGTGTGGCTCCAAGTTGAATGATGAAATATTTCAAGCTCGCACACATTTTCGCCCTAAAAGGCTCATCTTGATAAATGTGTACAGTACAATACAAACAAAACTTTCCCGTTTGTAGAATGAAAATTGGAAGAACTTGACAAGATACTCCAAGGGAAAAACAACTTTTTGTAAGAAAATAAAAAATATTTTTAAAAAATTCTAAAAATCTTACCTGATTTGATAAGTAGAACAAACCAGATTAGCCGAATTTTGCCAGACATCCTCAAATCATTTGTAGTGTAACCTGAAAAAAATCGATATAATTACTATTTTTTCCCCAAACATGTATGCTGAAATTATATCAATTCAGATCATATGAAAGCTTTGGGTGTTAGCACACAGTTCAATTATAGTTGTTGTGCTCTAATGTTATTTCTAATAACCGATCAATTAGTTAAAGGAGGATAATATAGGACAATGGCCGGTTCAATTATGTCACAGGTGACTGACAAGACAAGATGCATTGGATTCACATCATGCCTCGCCTTACAGCATGCCTTAAACATAAGCAGGCATTAATCACAGCGGTTATAAAGTGCCCATTAACGCGTGTAAATCCAAAGCAGTGGTTTTACCAATTGATAACTGTGATTAACCTGTCGGAGGCAGTTTGAAGTTTGAAGTTGACTGATATTAGAAAGACGTTAATTAATATGTACGAGAACAACAGGTAACGAAAATTATAAAACTTAAAATTTAATAGTTTATTTGTTTTAATATATTGGCACAACTAAGGCTGAGTTTGCATAGGTCTGTTCTGTAATTAATGTTGTGTGTGTCTCTGTTAATGCAAACCATTTCTATAAAGTTTCGTTTGAAAATGATATGGTTACAAATTACAAAGACACACACAGTATTAATTACAAAACAAACTCATGTAAACTCGGCCTTAGCTACGCAGATATCATAAAACAGATAAATATGAAATTTTAATTTTTATATTTTCCATTTCCCTTTGTAATTGTACATATTAATTAACTTCCTTTCTAATATCAGTGACTGTACCCTTTGAATAAACCCGGAATTAGGAATCCCGATCATCCCCGTTACCCACTCCCTTTGAGTCAAAAAAGCTGCCTAATTTCAAATAAAATTTCCCAGACTTCCCCATCCTGTCAAAATCTTATAAAAATAGCAGGATAGAAATTCACATCTCACAATTTCATCACGCATACAATAAAAAAACATGAATGTATAAAAATATATTAAACTTTATGTGAGCATGAATTACCTGATTTATACTTGATATTAAAACAATTTTTACATTTTTATTATATAATTTTTAAAAACCCATTCCAATCGACATTTTTTTTTTTTTTTTTTTAAATCATAATGTTTACCTAGTACTTTTTTGAAATAATTCGTGGTTCAACTGACTCCAGGCATTTGTAAAATATAAACCTTGTAGATACCTAGCAATATTTGTTGTGAAACACGTCTCTAGGCACTGGAAACGGCGTGTTCCGATATATTTTTCCTGTTCCCCGGCTGTCGCGATACAAAAGTTTCATTTCTCAACTTCCCCATCGAAAACTATTAACGCTGATAAAATTTTGCGCAAAATGTCTAATATGTAGGTGTTCCGGTACTTTTGTCTCAGTTTTTTTTTATTGTTCGGAAATCGTGAAATGCGGTCTGGTGTGATGTAGGTTTCAGAAAAACATTTTTTTTATCGTGCCAACGTTTCGATCTTTACTGAGATCATCTTCAGGGCCTGGGATTTACAAACATCGTTTAAATTTAACAAATACATGTAGGATGTGGAAAAAAGTTTTTTTTTGCCCGTCATGGAAACCACGTTTTATATATTTATATTTGATATTAAAACAATTTTTACATTTTTATTATATAATTTAAAAAAAAGCCATTCCAATCGATATTTGTTGGTCATTTACCCAAGACTTGGAGATGGCCGGAATAAACCTGTAAACATCGGTAACAAAATGAAAAAGGTGCTTTTCTGTAATACATTTTTTTGCGAGGGTTCGCAACAGCAGAAGTCATATAAACCCTCAGCCCATTTATGTCGTCATTTAAGTATGTCGGGTTCGAATGCAGCGGCGCTGGATTCGAACCCGGGACCTTTAACTTACAGTGATAAGTGCCGTGTCAACGCCTAAACCGTTCCGGCCACCGACAACCCTCCTATAGCTTGTATTGTCATCCTATAAGTTGGTAAACCGTATCGTCTGTTTAGGTCGTTTCAGTCGCTGTTCAGCGTGAGTCTAGGTGGAACCTAAGGAAACGCAGTTGGATTTGGGGATAGGAAGATTGTTCTAGAAAATTGTGAGAGGAGATAGGCTTCGGAGTGTACAACTGACGAGGTCTTCATTTATCTTCATTTTCCATTGTACACCAATCTGTTATACATGTGATATGTCTTTGAAGCCCATAAGCCCATTTGTAAGTATGTCGGGTTCGAATGCGGGGCAGCTGGATTCGAACCCGGGACCTTTACCTTACAGTGATGAGCGCCTTGTCAAAGACTAAACCTTGCGGCCACCGACGCCCCTTTAAGATCTTATTAAGCAACCGTACGATCGGGGCCCGTGTGTGTAAAGGATACGAGAAGGATAAATGTAGTGGGAACAGTAATGTAGCACAGTACAAAGGATATAAAGGATGGTTTGGAGCATATTGCCCTGTGATACTCCCGCGGCCAATGAGCAACATTTGGAGTGATCCTTTTTATACCCAAAAGAACTGACTGTTAGTACGAGCAGAGAATCACGTGAACAAGGTGAAAAACAAGGTGAACCATACTCTTATGCCACATCACGAGAGGCTCCCATAAAATTCTTGGTACTCAAGAACGGAGCATATACGGTTTAAAACGCTAAAAACGTACTGGTTGTGGAATGGTTGGAGCGAAAGCTAAACCGATGATTCGAGAGAAGGTTAGAGGAATTTTAGCAACAGTCTTTGATGATGTTGAAAATGGATACTAGGCAGCCTTTCACTTCATTTTGTACGCCAATCACTTCAGACTTCTGGCTTGCAGTACATTCCTAGTTCCTTAGTTCAGCGCTGTCGAATTGATCTTTCTCTTTAGAAGTACTAGGTCATTGACTGTCGTCGCTATAATTTCTTTCCTTAGGTTAATCTTGGTATCCCAGGTTACGTCTCCAAGGAGTTGTTTCCCATTTTGAAGACGATATGGGTAGCTGTTTTATACTCCTCATACGAAATTAATATGGAAACTACGAAATATACAGAAATAGACCTCAAGCACTGCTGCCTTCTGGCATATTGTACTTTCCTAGTTCCTTGGTTCTGGAAAAGTCAACCATCATCCCGCAGTCCGGCACGTAACACGCTCAGGGAACACAAAGATTATCGGTTTTCATTTTTTTCATTTACTTTACAGCTTCCCTTATAGATGTAGCTTCAGCTGCAAAAATCATACAGAATGATGGGATGATGATAGTGAATATGGATAGCAAAAAGTCGGGGATTACTGTTCCCAAGCACTGCAGCATTCTGGCTTATTGTATTTTCTAGTTCCTTACTGCAATAGACTCGAACTTCTCCTAAAAATTACTAGGTCACTGACCGTCACTGCTACTATTCCTTTCCCTGGGTTTTCTTTGTATCCCATGTTATGTCGTCATTGAGCGGTTACTTCCCATTCTAATATGATATGGGTGGCTGTGTCCTTCTCCACGTTGTCTAATCTCCAAACAGGATCATAATTGAATCCTGGATCCACGTTATGTAAGTGTTACAATTAATTAAGGTTTTTAGTTGAGATGAAAAGTTAATGGCACGAGCGGGATTCGAACCCACGATCTTCGGCTAGATACGCCGCTGCTCTACCACTTGAGCTATCGTGACCTCGATCCACTCGGACATCAACTTCCAATCTCAACCCCACCTTATGAGTTTTCCCTCCTTTTTGCTATTTTTCAAATGTCGAGTAATCGGATTGGATTCCCGACGACAAATGAAATGACCACGGAGAGCTTTAGTGAATTATACTTCATTTTAAATCATTTAATTCACTAATTAGTGAAATGGCCATTTCATTTGTCGTCGAGAATCCAATCTGATTACACGACATTTTTAAAAATGGCAAAAAGGATGGCAAATCCAAAAGGTGGGGTTGAGATTGGAAGTTGATGTCCGAGTGGATCGAGGTCACGATAGCTCAAGTGGTAGAGCAGCGGCGTATCTAGCCGAAGATCGTGGGTTCGAATCCCGCTCGTGCCATTAACTTTTTTTCATCTCAACTAAAAACCTTAATTAATTGTAATGTATTAATTGGTCAAGCGGACCACGAAATTAGTGAAGTTATGTAGATGTTTACTCACATGCAATTGATCAGTAGTGCGGTTTAAATTTAGCCCTCTCTAACTGTAGCAGTGAGTTTGCCAATCTTGATGAGCGTTACCTTAACATAAAGTTATTGTGCCTAGCACCTCTCAGATTTATCCATATCTCCTTTTCTCCTTTTTTTTGGATACATTCTGTGATGGAAAATTCTATGTTTGTTTTATTCCGAGTATAGGTTCAGGGTTTAAATGGTCTGGCAGATCCCCCTCAGGTGAGCGTGTCTGCCTTTTTTAACACGAACTTCCTATGTGTCCTGGTAGTCTAGATATCATCAGGTTGTTTCGTTTTTGGGTGCATTCACTAATTTTGATGTGAGCTTTTTTAAAATCTAATGTTTTAATAGATTCTTGGCTATCCGATCATGTGAGGATCTTTATGCCAGTGCAACCTCTCTTAAGTGTTTTTACTGCACAAGCATTGATGAGACGTATTAGGTAAGAAGGAGCGAAATATGTAGATGATATTAAAATTAAATCATATTTCCAACAAACATCTTGCAGCCCAATTCATTCCATTTCCATAATTCCAGGTTTTACGCCTTTCGATGTATGAAATCGTTTCACTTAAGGAAATGGGCAATTGCTCAAAAGTGGTGTGCAGCCTTAGGGAAGGTCAATACTTCAGAGTTGATGCAGTAGAAAGAAGCTCGACACCGTTTCAGAACGTTTTTGATTTGTATGACAGAGCGTATGGCTAGATATTTTCATGGGAAGTTTTTTCTTTAAGCACGGTAGCACATTACATAAACCTCGTATTTTCGGATTGTTCGGAAAAGAGCTCAAAACATTACACCCTCCTTGGCAAATTCAATGTAAAAGCTTTGTAAATTTCAACAAACTGTTAACTGTTTAACGAGATGTGAAAGATTAAATACGAGCTTTTATTAAATTATTTTTTTCAATTTTACTTGCG